ACAACAATACGAGAGAAGCAGTTAGAATTGTGGAGACGGGAAGATTGCGCAAGCAGGCTTGATCGATCGTTCCATAGCCAACGCTCGATCGATCTCATGCTGTATTTCATGTATTTCACATTCTCTCGTCTGCGTGATCACGCAATGCTTTGGCGCCTTGTAAATGTGCGAATTCGCATATTCCTTTTCCCCTGTCTGCCGCCCGCCGTTTCTTCCTTGCCAAGTGTTTCACTCCTGGAATACGTGAACGAACGTCACATCGGCTCGGATGATTTTTTCGTCCGGCTGAGGTGGGCGCGTCCGAGGTTACTCACAATATCCGGTCAACTATACATGCGTCTAATTTCAATGAAGTTTCGCCGCTCGAGCGACGATCTTTCGATTTTCCGAGTTGCGTGCTTTTTGTGTTTTCCTCGCAGTTTCCTCTTATGACCAGGCGACAAGCGCAACTCGACAACGGACACCAACTCCTTTTCTAAAGTAAACTTACTATTAGATTATAATTAGACGATGCAATGAGTTATTACGACGGACGTGGTACAATTCTTTCTTCCAAAGACTTTTCTTCGTCGTTAGTATAAAAAATTTTCAATAAAACTCCTATGGAGATACTTTTACATTTATCGATCAAGCATTTATTTCGCATATTTTCATCTGCACTTTACTTATACTTCTCATTCCCTCGCATAGAGCAAAAACGATGATAATTATTGTAGAAATTAAAGATTAGTTGTATTTTCAATTTTCATCAAGCTGTTATTATTTATACTTACTGTCGAGACTAATTAATCTAGACTACGAGCAATAAATGACATTTACCATGCTATAATCATTAAATCTGTTTATTAAAAGAATTTTGGATTAGGATTATTATTTTTTTTCGGTCCGAGAGTATTTAATTTTTGTTTTTGTTTTTGTTTTTGTTTTGTTTTGTTTTTTTTGTTTGTTTGTTTGTTTATTTGTTTTCTTTTGTTTTTTGTTTTTTTTTGTTTTCGTTTCGTATTATCTAATGCTGATATAATTGTGTAATCGAATTTATGTAATATATATTTTTCTATAAATACGTCATTATTTATAATTACATGATTTAGGAAACTGGCCAGTTAAATTAAATAGTATTTTAAAAATTTCGCCAACACGATAGTATAGAATAATGATGCTAGTTAAAGTAGATCGTAGAAGTAAATTGTTATCGTATTTCGTTGCAAAGGTAAAACTAAACATCTAAATGGAATTTTCAATACTTTATGCCAAGTATGATAAAAATTTCGAGGTAAATGGTCACCCTATAAACTATAGGCAATGCTATTTCATGTAGAGCCGAACGAAAAACGCTATTGGTGAAAGTAACTTTTAATAAGAATGATTTTGAAATCGCTTAACATAAAAATTAACTCTGCACTGGATTTCTCTTTCTAAATTATAAAATAAAATTAAAAAACAACAACGCCTCGTTAATTACGAGCCGGAAATTCAGAGCAAAGTGAAAACGCGATGATAATGCAGATACGTACGATTTTACGCGTCGACATTGCTATTATCGAGGCTGGGCCAATGTATCGAAAAATCCCGGTCCCATTTAGTCTCCTCTCGACATTGAAAATCAACGGAAGAAACATATGGTCGCATTTACAATGCACGCGCGCACGATCGAGGACTGCACGTTCGCTGTACCGCGACCTGATTGCATTTTTACATCGCCCCTCCCCCCTCCACCCATCGTCTCCAGAGCCGATAATACTTTTTTGTTGCAACAATTGAAAAAGGTGCTCTTAAAACAAACAGAAGATATACGAAAATGTTATTACTGTCGCTTCGTGTCTCCTTTAAAGTATTCTCACATAATGAAGCAATCAATAAGCAGACGTTATTAGAAAATGGGTCTCTTTCTATCTTTTGGTATCGTTGGCTCCCAATGTCCACGCTTAGTCATTAAAACTCGTTCCGTATACGCTCGCACCTTCAAACGGTTTTTCCTATTTTCATGATTAAGTCTTTGGCGACGCTTTTTTATAACGAAATAGCTAATGTTGCGCTCGCGTATCGAACGAACGCCGAGCGCCGATGTTGGTTCCGCGTCACCGTCACGACAATCAAGCGACCTCCTCCCCTCCCCCGTTACGCAGGTAAATCAAGCCACTTGGTTCGCGCGTAAATACACTGACTGGTGAGGAAAAACGTGAGCCTACAATCCCGGAATCGAGCCCCTGCGAAAATTCATCTCCCATCGATTTCTAAATGACTACTGCCCACGCTCATTGCACGCGCCTCCGGTATCAATGTACTCTCTCTCTCTCTCTCTCTCTCTCTCTCTCTCTCTCTCTCTTTTACGAAGCTTTTGTCGGTCAGTTAATTAGCGTTATTGTTTCACTCGCGATGCTCACGTCCGCTCGGGATTAATCTGAAGAATCTTGCAAGCCACTAGCCGCTGCTTCATGCCAGATCGATTAACGGGGCTTTGCATGTTCCGATGTGCCGAAGATTCTCTTTCGTCTTGACCGCGATGACGAGGAATGTCTTTGAATATCGTAGGTGTCAACGAGACGATGAACAGAATTCACCCGCAACCACTGGAGTATCTACTTGTATTCGACAAAGAGAGAGAGAGAGAGAGAGAGAAGATAAAGAATGAATCTTGACGAGAGTAAGTTTTTGCCAAAGATTATTTGGAAGCTTACAATTAGCTTACAATTACAATTAAATTTTATGTCAATTAGCGCAAAATTCAAACTATTGAATTACACACTACGCCTCTGCTAATTCGTTTAACCAATTTGACATACTTTCGCGCGCGTTCTTTCGCACATTCTTCCGTGTTCAAACAATACGTCACGGTCCATCAACGCCAAAGAGTAGAAGGAATTACACGTGCGTCTTACACGCGGCATTAGACGCGAAGCTCACGTCAAACGGCTCGAAAGTTAAAAGTTAACGAGTCTAAAACCGAGATGCAATCACAAAAGCCCATGGAGTGCAGGGAATTGAAATGACGTCGAGTGTGCCACCCGGCAGTTCCAAAAAATCACACAGCGAACGAAAACAAGTTTATATCGACGATCGCTTTCCTCGGAGTTTTTGCTTACCCATAGAAATTCCTTATGGCCTTTAGGGGTATTCAAGAATCCAGTTTATATGCCTTTTATGAGCGGAGTGTTGACTGGGCTCATTTTCTCTCTCTCTCTCTCTCTCTCTCTCTATCTCTCTCTTTCTCTTTCTCTCTCTGTCTCTGTCTCTGTCTCTCAAAATCGCGATAACAGCGGAACAGAATAAAATTGTAGCATTGCAACTAACAGTCCAAACAAAGTGCTTTTATAAGTGAGAGAGAGAGAGAGAGAGAGAGAGAGAGAGAGAGAGAGAGAGAGAGAAAAGGCTTGCTATTGACGTCGACGCCGCGTTCGGGATAGCATAAAACTGAATTATACCGATGACTCGCCACACTTCAATGAAAAACAACTCGAACTTTTCCACGCTCTGTTCCTACCTATCTCCGAAGCCTTTTACCACGGGCGAGCGCCGAAAATCCCCTGGCTTAAGCAGCCTCTTATACGGAGCGAGAGAGTCGGCCAAGAGAACGGAGACAAGGAAGACGAGGAGTGGCGATAGATTCTCGCGCTCGATCCTCGTTAGGTCGCCCCAGAACCGGACGAGAATCTGCCAACGGGTCAACGCGACTATGCGGGTAAAAAGGGAGAAGGAACTTGACGTTCCTGGATTTTTGAAAGTCTCTCCCGCCACATGGCTGACGAGACTAAAAGTTAAGTGACCGTTTACGCGAGGATTACGCTTCGAATCTTACATGGACCTTACCTTTTCCTTAAATCTTTGTAAATGGCTCGTTAATCTACCACGAGTGAGGATATTTTTTTATGTAGATGGCAGATTTATAAAAGGTACGCGATTTTAAAATTAAACTTCTTTCTTATGCAAATGTTCAATATGAAATAGCGGTTTTCGGTATGACTGTTTATTAACTCTTTTAAACGCGTAATTTTTCTCAAATTGTATCTTTCTTTTCTTTCACTTTAATATTTAGGCCAACGACCTAAGACGCAGAGCATCACTAGTGCCGCTAATATTCCTCGGATGTACATATGTCTTGTTATTCTCTTGATTTATTAGTGTGTTTTCTTCTTTTTTCGTCGTTAGTTTTCGGACTTTGATATGGATGTCGAAATAGGAAGTTGATTGGTTGGATCATTGTTTTGGAACATTGTTAACAAATATTAATTTTCCTATTAAAGGCCACGTGAGAACAGTATCTTCAGATATTCTTAGCTTAACGAGGAAAGTAGGAAACGGCGATAAATAGCAATGAAATTCGTAGTGAAAAGTTTTTAACTCGTATCGATGCTAAGCAAAAACGATGAAAAGATTCCAGGCGAAGGATCATACATTTTAATGTACATAATTAGCTAATTAGCTAACAAGTTGTTTCTTAAATTCGAGAAGCTTGATTAATGAATTGCCTATATTTGCACAAAAAGTAATGAGATTAAAATTTCAATCGATTATAAAATTCCGTTTCAGCTTTCAAGCATTATTTTAATTGCAACAAATGGCTATTTAAACTATTTATACTTAATTTGCTGATTATTAATCACAACTGGGAAAAGTATGAATCGTGTCGAGTTTTTCCATTTTCAGCTTCGTCAGATTAATTTTGATGAATATAATACCTCAAGTTATAGTGAATAATTCATATTAAAAATTCAATAACATGTCAAAAGCATAAATTTTTTAAGATCACACTCCTCTTAAAAATTAATCCACGATATACAGTTTATTGGCTTTAAACACACAGTATAAACATACAGTTTATTGGCTATAAAGTGATAAATGAAATAAAAAAAAAAAAAAAAAAATAGCTTACCATTCTAGTAAAAAGAATATTTAACAAAATTAATAATAAAAATTTCTTGAAATAATTATTGAAAAAAATAATGAAACTTTACAATTTAAATGAGTTAATAGAATTTTAAGTAAACGTTATTTCTACTTACGAATATAAAATTCGAGCTATTATTACATCACAATAGCATCTATTATTGCCGAGCTTACCTGAAACGGAAAAGTATATTACTTATTTAATAATAATCGTACTGGAAGGATTACATTAGGCTTATGATTAATAGGTATAATGTAGTTGTAGACGAGAGAGAGAGAGAGAGAGAGGGAGATTGAAACTTTTATACCCTACTCATAATTAAACAATCGAGAGATTTAAAAGAATTATGGGAATTCTTCTTCGATTAGTATGAGCTGACATTACAATTTCTCATACTTCTTGTAATATATTTAAATACCGAGGAGGAAAAGCCTTTCATGTACCTTCGCTCAATTTAATAAGACATCGAGCGACCGCGAGTGCTTGATTTTATAAAAGACTTAACCGCATGCGTGAGCGGCGCAAGAACTTTCGCTCAACTCTTGGCAATAAACATTCTGCGAAACTTTTTGCGCGCTTCTTGAAAAAAGAAGACGCCGTTACGGGCAAAGCATTATTAAGCTTACTTTCACGGTTTCGCAAATATTGCGCAAGCGCGCGCTTTACGCACTGAGGCAGGTGTACGCGCGAGCACTCGGTGAGGCAAAACTTCGAATCACAATTGTTCCGCCTTCGGTCGATCTATCCACCTTGGCCACTCGCACAAAAGCTAAATTCCACGCTCGATAGCCCGGGATAATCGAGGCCTCGTCGATCGTTGGGAAACCTACAAGCCAGCCGGGGCTCAACCACGGCGTGAATTCGACGTACAAGCAGCACCCTGGGCAAAGCGTCCGCGGAGATAACCTCCTGGCCAATTTCACTCGGCCGTGAGCACACCCGGAAGCGCTCGCGTTCTGAGTATCTCCTCCGGGTAAGACGATTTCCATGCTTTATCGGGAGATGCATGTTCGGGAGAGCGTTGCGCACCGCAGCGAGCGAATAGCCGGCAGCGCTTGTAATGTATTTTTTGCTCTGTCTTAGCCGCGATACGTCACTTTTTCTTTGCCTCACAGTTTGTTTACGCTTTGATGTGCGATAGGATATTGAAATCGAAGCGTACTGAGACTAAACAACTCACAACCGTCTTATTTCTCATTCAGTCTTTCATTCTCATTTGCTTTTCAATCGCGATGCTTTTAATTTAAAATAACATCGACGGCGACGAGGACCACAACAACAACAACAACGACGACGACGACGACGACGACGACGACGAAGACGAACAAAAAAAAAGAGAAAAAAAAAATCACAATCTTTGCTTTCTAGGTTACATGTTTACAGGAATTAGTGTTACTATAATTAATTTCTTACTATAATTTCGGTAATATATAGGCATGGATTATTTGTACAAAGATTACAAAGATTAATTGTTTCAAATGCGTTGTAAGAAATATGAACTTTGAACAATGAAACGACTGATTTTAATTTATTTTTTATTTTTATTTTTTTTCTTTATCAAACATGTTATTTTATGATTCGTAGCCAAAGTGTGTTTAAAAAATGTTTAAAGTTATGCGTATCTACAACATAAGACGAATAGTTGTACAAACACAATTTTTACGCCCAATGTTATCAAATATAAGGAGGATAAATAGGACAAATTTAAGTTCAAATACTTTACCGATGCTTATCAATTTCAACGTATATTGTTAATATATGTACATTAAATGAAAAGGTAACATTTTGATATTATGTCGAGCAGTTTAGAATATAACCGATACAAGTATTCAAACACTTAAATTAACTCTAATAATACCGTCTTCGTAAACTGTAAAAAAACGTTTTACTTATCCTTTCTGACAAGGAAAAAAAAAAAAGAAAAGAAAAAAACCCTATTAATATTGACATTTTTAAGACAATACGCTTAGAATATTGTAAGCAAATAAAAATTTATCTCTAATCGTTGGAAACTGGCGTCACATTTCATTTGCAAAATGAAAATATTATAATCTTTGGAGAACACAAGATTTCCATCAATAATGCACGAGAATTGGCAATCTTTTATGTTTAATAAACATAAGGATCAAACATTTTTACATCTTCGTGCATTCGTTCCCTTCTACGTCACCAACAGTCAATTGAAAACAATAGAACTATTCGCGAATGTGCAACAATTGCGAACGGTTAGTCGTTGTCAGCTATAATAGAAGGATTTTGTCTCTTCAATTTCTTTCTCCTTTGTGCATTCGAAACTCTTGTATAGAATTAAAATTAATAACTCTTTTAACCGTAGTGTAAGAGCCAAATCCAAGTTGACACAGAACCAGTTGCTTATGCATCTTTAAAAGCTATGCGTAGGGGATAAAATATAGGATGAGAAACAAGTTACCCTCCTCTCCCTCCCCCACGCCGTCCCAACCATCGCACAAATGCACCAAGTAATCGGCAATGTTTTCCCTTTGTGAAACTGCTTTCGACGAAATTACAGAAAGGTGTTTGGAAAAGTTCCGACACCAACCAGCACTATTTTAAGCAAAGAAAAATAATTCTCATTGGTAATGGACGATGGATTTTCGCGTATATCGAGGAGGATAGATCGATTTCAAGGATTTGAAATTGCTTTGATGAAGAACGATATTGTAAAAAATTCATATTGCCCGTATAACGTTAAAATACATTTAATTACGGAGCTTAATTGTAATTCTATAAAGCCATTAATGGTTTAATTATCTTAAATAAATATTGATTTTTTTTTTCTATTAGCTATTGAAATTCGTTACTTAAAGCAAACTTTAATAAAGGCCTTTAATAAATATTTTGTTGTAATTAAATTTTTAAATAACAATTTTAATTGAGCAGATATGTAAATAAGACGGCACACTTTTTTTCTTTTTTTTTTTTTCGTAACAATGAATCTAATTTATTCTTAATTACTTATTCATTTTGAAAAAGAATTTTTTTTACAATTTTTTTAAAATACCATTTATCACAACCAATTAATATAATAGTAACAATATGCTTTATTTGCTTGAAATTTTTTCATGATATTATTAAATTATAATAGTAATTATTTGTAAATTACATTCCATGTATTCTTACAGTATGTGTGCGGAATTTAATGGAATAACTAATTTCACTGATTGTAATAATTCTATGTTTCAATATAAAAGATGAAATAATACTCGAAATTTTCCTTACACTTAAATATTTCACGCTATGAACATTAGCAACGATCGTAAATTTATATAATTTTTTCGCGAATATAGCATACTTAATTCGCTTATATATTTAATTAAGTTTTCACTTAACGCGAAGTTTGGAATTCGACTGGATTCGGATAAAATTATCGCATCATTAAGAAATATATACATGCCCCTCGAGTCAAATAACTAATAGAATGTTAAAAAATTAAGAATATTACCAGCACGTTTAATTTCGTAAGATTTAAAGATATAAAATTAAGAGTGCGTAGTTTTGGCAAATTGAACGTAATAAAAAAAAAAAAAAAAAAAAAAAAAAAAAAAAAAATGAATGAGTCAAATAATTTCCATTCGTTTCGTTATCGTAACAATATTACTTTTTATACTTGTATATAATAAAGTAAGGATATATAGTTATAATAATATACATCATTGCAATGATTAGAAATTTGTACAACTAAATAAGCTGGTTGAGAAGAAGCTCGGCTACACAGCGAAAAAATTATTTTCCTTATTTCAAGAAGGCGAACTTGAGCTATGATTATTAAAATTTGAAGCATCGGATGATAATTGATTTGAATATCCTCGATTACATTATCTCTTCTCGTGTATTACAATTACTCGGCTATTTTAACCAACACAGGCAAACATAAAAAAGCTTCGTTAACTGACATTTTCATTGTATTGCACAACAATCGGTATAGAAATCCAACTTTTAAATACAATCGACAGTCCAAATAATTATCCGCGTTACGTAATATTTAGCTTTGGTCTCGCAAGGCAGTGCATCCGCTCGTATTGTAATAAGTCGCTGGTAAAAGCCTCGAAAATCACCGACGAGATATTCGACCATCTTCCGGCCATCGTGGACAATTTATTACGAGCCAAGGGGGTCAATGCCTTTCTATCTCTTGCTCTACCATTGTCATCATTCTCCTTCTCCTCCATCCCGCCATCGCAACGCCACAGCACACCACACGACGGTCGATCGGCTATATTTCCAGTGGGAGATCTCGAGTCTTCCTCTCTCATCGTTCTTAAGTATTGGTCTCATCGATGACTCGGCATTGTTTCGACGCTTCGGACGTTATGGTTTCGCGCTAAGCGCTTTTACCTTGCCCGCCTCGTAATTAGCTTTCACGATGGGAATGCATTAAATGACTCGCCATTGTCGACCATGTGCCAATTGAGCGAGAAATTGGCAAAGGTTTTATCACGTTAGAGCCACGTTGGGAATCCGAGAGAGACAGAGAGAGAGAGAGAGAGAGAGAGAGAGATTTTTTGACAAATCATTTTGACGTCGAAAGGTGGCGAGACGCGCACCTGTCGTACAAACAAATGTGAATTGTTTGTAGGCACGCGGCTAATTAAAACTTGCCTCACTTTTATACTCGAGCCTCTCGTTATAAAGCAAACGATTTTCTTTTCTCTTCTTTTTCTTTCTTTCTTTCTTTCTTTTTCTTTTTTTTATTTTATTTATTTTTTTTTTTTTTATAATCCGAACGATAAAGTGCGTTCGTACGAAGGCCACACGCGTATATAATAATATTGTCGATCGTTAATTTATCCGGAATGAAATGGTATAGGCGCACAACTATAACTTCACTGACTACGTCCAATCGATTAATTTCCTTTATGTGCTTATATCGGCGAAAAGAGCCCATCCGATAATTAATAGACGCATTTCGTGATAGCGCTGATTCAGTTGGCGGCTTGGCTTGCCTCGCGAAACGAAGAAACCGCTCGGTCGAGATAATTATAAACACAGCTAAAACAGTATTACTTCTAATCCACGACCTTGCTCGCTCGAGTCAATAATTTCTTTATAAAATTTATCTTAATTGTAGATTATCTTTTATCTTGACACTTTATTTTTTTTTTTTTTTTTTTTTTTTTTTTTTTTTTTTTTTTTTAATGATTTTTCTGAAACC